CGGAGCCCAGTCAGGTGTATGAAGGCCGGCGGTCTCTGGCGGTGGCTTAGTGCGCTTCTGCAGACTAATCCGAGCTGGATGCTGCGGAAATGCCAGGCTCGATGCGGGATGCTGCTGCACATGGGCATTCCTTCTGCCTCTTAAACAACTTCACTCTGCAGAGAACAAGTCTGTGTCACCGCCTAATGGCTCTTGTCATTTTAGTGTAGTGATCAGAGAAGAAAAATGGAAGTACTTTATGTGGAGAAAAAAAAAAGATAAAATCTGAAGGTATTTCTTAACCCAGAGTGCAAGGCTGTCTGGAGTACAATGCAGATCTATCAATAATTCAGTTAAAACTGTTTACCTACTTTACATGACTGGGCTCAGCTCACTGATCTCCACTCAAGTTCACGCTCAAGTTATTTAACTGCAGGCTGCACGTTACACCACACAGACCAAAGTGTTATAGATTTTTCCAAGTGTAATATACAAGTCCAAATTGATTGGAGCCAAATGTAAAGTTAGTCAGATCTTTAATATGCTCTATTAAGGCGTGAACAATACTTTGAAGCTTTGTCTCAGCCCCAGAGTAGCGGGGACTGGAGCTGAAACAGTCGCAAACAGCCAGAATAAAACCACCTTTGGAAGAGGTGTTTATTCTCAACAATGTGTCATGTGAAATAATGAACTTTTTTTCAAATGTAAAAGTGAGCAATCAACTGCCCTTATAAAATGACACACTTTACAAGGATGCTGGCTGGGTCGCCCTCTGTGACATCACCCACGGGCACACACCTCTCATCTGTTGTTGGCTGTACCTATAAGCCCAATGCTCCATTTTCCCAGAACAAAATTCTCTCACACACACACAGCGGGGAAGACACCAGCCACTTTCCCCACCTCTTGTAGAGGTAGAGGAAGTATATCCCCAACATCCTTGCCAGGGATTTGGCACAGTCCGTGCTATTCCAAAGTGACTAGGTAAGGTTTAGAAAGAGCAGTGCAAAATAGAAATGTGTGCTTTCATTATTCTTTAGGCTTTAGATAATTAGTAGCCCCCTTATATGGAAGGCTTTATGCGAAAGGATGGGTAAAATGTGTCTACACCATGGCTGAGGATCAACCTGGGTTGCATGGTCAGAACCTGAGGAAGATAAATTCAGGCCAGGGGTGTCCTTGGTGTGACAGGACTGTCTGGGTATGTGGCTGGGAAGGGGGCAGGTGAGGAAATGGGAACAGGAGGAAATAGGGAGCCCTGCTATTTTGAGTGGGGGTGGCTACGAAGGCTATTTAACCTGTGCTGTAGCCACCGGCCACCTCTTGCTGGTCCTAAATGAAATAGGCTGTAAACCCAGAGAAGCCACACTGGGTTTCGAAGACTTGGGTTGATTACATGTTTAAAGTACATGTGGAATGAAAATGTTTGGGTGTATTGGATTTCAGAGGCTGTTATTAGATTGATTTCCCCTGTCTCTCTCTTTTTTTTTAACGTGGCTACTTGGAATTTTAAATCCCATGTGGGTTATGTTATATTTCTAGTGGACAGTGCCGCTTTACATGCACTTTGCATGGTAGAATTATGGCTCATGCTTACTTCCCCGTGTTGTCTATATTTTTTCCAACTGGGAATAGGAGAAACAGACCATATTATGTTTTTGAGGAAAAAGTACTTATCTTGGATTTTGAAGTTCGGCAAGCATGTGTCCTCGCTAACCTTGTCTGAGACTCACCTGCATCTGTAAGGTGAAGATGACAACAATTTTCATCTTACCAGGTTGTTATCAGAAGCGAGGAATGCATAGGACATTAGCAGAGAATGCTTAGCGCAGAACCTGACATAGGGAAAACCCACCGAAATGTGGCATTATTCTTACTTGTAGCTCAAGACCTGTTGGATGCCTGATCTGGAATCCCAGTCCATGTCTAACTCAGCTCCTTGGCTCTTGTTGTCCATGTTTGTATTTGGTGTCACATCTACTACTTCTACAGCCAGGAAGTTGAGATTTCCCTTCTTTTTCTCATCATTGAGGAACCTCAGGCCTGGTTCCCTATGTTCTGCTACTTTTTCAGACTAAGGTATTTCTCACTTACCTACTTTAGCTCATTTTGATTTCAGAGCAAGAGTTCTCTCCTGGCTATAACTATAAACCAGGCCACAACTCTTTGTCGACCCCGACCCCTGCCTCATACTGGGTGCTAGGGTCTTGTTTTTTACTGACTCTGCTTCTTTTGACGGGAGGATCAATCAAGGACATTTGGTGCCAGGCGAAGGGGGCGAAGGTAACAGAAGAACAGGGTCATGGAAATAAGAGATGAATGGGACAGGAGCAGGCAGAGCAGGAGAACACCACTTTGATGCCTTCTCCCCACCCACCCACAGCCCTGCCTTTTCTCACTTTCTTCGACCGACTTTAAAAACTGTGCTATGGCCGAAACCGGTTTGGCTCAGTGGATAGAGCGTCGGCCTGCGGACTGAAAGGCCCCAGGTTCGATTCCAGTCAAGGGCATGTACCTTGGTTGCGGGCACATCCCCAGTGGGAGGTGTGCAGGAGGCAGCTGATCGATGTCTCTCTCTCATTGATGTTTCTAACTCTCTATCTCTCTCCCTTCCCCTCTGTAAAAAATCAATAAAAAATATATTAAAAAAATAAAAAATAAATAAAAACTGTGCTATGTTCACGCTGTGGAAAGTGCAAGGCAGTTTCTTATCGCCTTTCACGATTCTTACCGCCTGACGTACAGCCACCTACGGTGTAGCACAGCACGGACCTAACCCCGTGCTTGATTTCCATTCCAGGAAATAAGTCCTCAGACGAAGACAGCTGTACTTGTTCTCTGAAAGTCAGTGGCAGGGAAGAGAGAAAGTTAAAACTGTGTGAAGACAGAGCTTCCCTAGGTGTGGCGAGGCAGCTAATGAAAGGACCCTTTCCGTCAGAGCTGCATGAGATCAACACAAGAAATGACTTAAAAACCCAGATGGCATAGCACAGGGGGCTGGGAACGCCTGTGCTTCTGAAATCCGTGCAAAAAGCCCCAATTTCCTCCAAAAGTTTTTTTTTTAATCAGAAAAATGTTGATTTGTGCTCCCATCCAGCTGCTGTAACTAGGTGATTCAGAATACACCCTTGACTTAAGATGGTCTCTTTTGCCTTTTCATCTTATCCATATGTGACTTTGCCTGCTTTATTTTTAGATTTACCGAGTGTTTTCAAGGTAGCAAATTCAAAGTAAGGAAATAAGCAAATTGGGTTGTATTTCAAGCTTGGGCTGAGATTTGACTGGAGAAACCCTTGGAAATTAACAGGGAACAGAGTTCCTACATTCTCTTTGCTAACAGCTGGGATTTGTGGAGGGTTTGTACTTGGGGGGAGACTGGGTTATTTCAGTGCCAGAGAATACATACACCTACGGCCACTCTGCCACCAGGCAAGGGATGCTCAGGTGAGAGTGTGCAGGAGGGCCCACCCTGGATGGGTAAACATGGCCGTTTTTCCTGGAGCATTAATTAGTGAAATATTTACCACCAGTCAGAGGCAGGAAGCGATCATTGCCAACAATCACTTTCCTGTGGTTTCCTAGAAATCAGAGGGTTTGTAAAATGTGAATTTTCCCTTATTATTCAAATTTAGGAGCAGAGATGAAGCATTTCTGGAGATCCAAAACACAGCTTTAGGATATCAGCTCTGCTCACTTACCTTCTGGTCCCTTGCCCACCCGCCCACCTCACCTGCTGCTTGTTGTTGTTGTTTTTTTCTTGCGGGTGTGGAGGGGGCAGGGAGGATGGTCACTGTAGAATAAATGCTCATGAAACTTGTGATATCAGTTGACCATGGCCCAACCAAATCTCTCTCTGGCAGAGGTCACAGGAATAGTGATGATTGTGTAAGTTGGAATGCAGACATGTGGGCACCCAGGTGGTCAGCCTCTGCTCGGTGCCACGCGGCAATGAGCATCTGCTGGCTGAGCGTGAAGGAAGTTTTTATAGTTTCCAAAGTGTTTGGGTAATTGTTTCTTTTTAAATATTTTTAAATAAGACAATCGCTGTTGCAGGTCTGAGCATTATAATTACAGGTGTGCAAACCTAATGTATGTGAAAAATTTCTCAGTGCAGGCTCATCCTGACTTTGCTTCCCTACAAATGGAATGTGAGAGCAGTGCCACTAAAAATGCTTCTTTGTTACCATTTCCATTTGGAAGATGTCATTGGGTCTTCTTTAAAATGCAAATGTTTCACCTGATGTGGCTATAGTGTATACACCGATTTAAAAAAAACAAAAACCAAAAGACATAACGAGATTAAAAGACTACATAAAATGCTTTCTGGACACACAAACAATTTTTAAATTAACAGGCATGAACAGGTATCAATAAATTGTCTAAAGCATTTAATGGTCTTTCATACAGTCAACTCCCCCAGCCCTGAACCGATGGGACATTTTTTGCGGAAGCTGTCAAACGCAACATTGGAAAACGGGTCCGGTTTCGGGGCTGGTGAGCAGAGCACGGAGGGGTAAAAACTGGATGGCTGTGTTGTTCTCATGCTGTGTTTCTGTCTCTCCCCCCACCTGCCTGCTCAGGGCTGATCGTGTTGACCTTGGCCATCTGCTGGATGCCCAACCAGGTCCGGAGGATCATGGCTGCCGCCCGGCCCAAGGAAAACTGGACCCGGTCCTACTTCCGGGCGTACATGACCCTGCTCCCGTTCTCCGACACCTTCTTCTACCTGAGCTCGGTCATCAACCCGCTGCTGTACAACGTGTCCTCGCGGCAGTTCCGCGCCGTGTTCTGGCAGGTGCTGCGCTGCCGCCTGACCCTGCAGCACGCCAACCAGG